TAACCTTGAGGAGAAATTGTGATGCTTTGTTGTCACTGGATATCTTATGTTTGTGTGTGCAATATGCCAAGTCAGATTGTTTTTCTGCTGATTAAGAATTTAATGATTTGGAGCGTATATGAAGCTCAGTGTGTTGTGATTCTAAATGAATGGCTTACTTGTGATTCATTCTTGTTTTTGATTTTGTTTTGTCCTGCTCAGCTTATCCAAAAGGCAATTATGAGCAGATGGCATTCATGACTGATGCATCCAGGTGGCCACAGTTCAGAGCTGGAGAGTATGGTAATTGAGATGCCCCTTCTTAAACAGTACATCACCATCTGATCACTGCATTTAATTCGCTCAGTTTCATTGGTAACTGTGCATAAATTGGGTTTGTGTTGTGGTCTTGTAGGAGAGACTGGACTGACAGTTGACAAACTTCAAGGTGATTCTGTTAACTATGTAAATATCCCCATCAGTCCTATGTCTAAACGCCAGCTGCACTACATGGAGTTGGATCTGCAGGCCCGGCCAGAGTCAAGCCACACTGTCAGAGGTACACTGTGTTCCTCTCATATACAGTCAAACCAAAAAGTATTCAGACACCAGATATAATATTTTATTTTATTTTTTACTAGTGGGTGCAGGATACTATAGTTCATTTATGTAAGTGAGGATAGCAAAATAAAGTAAACTGTGACATTATACATTATGGTGGCATTATGGGACATTATACCCAAAAATTCTTCATACAATGGACTACCAGTAAAATTGATCAAAATTTGGGACCAAAAATAATTTAGACACTTTGACCTGACCATGCTTTATGTGTTATCTGACATTATCAAGATTAATTTGTTCTGACACAGTTTAACTCTGTGTTCTTGTCATATTGTATTACCATTTTCTAAACTACAGCAAATAAACTGTGATGATGTGTGAAATGTTGAATTTTGGTTTGACTGTATATACTACTTTCTTTTGATACTTCAATTACATGCCATAGGACTATCATGACGTGCTACATACAGGTGCATCTCAATAAATTAGAATGTCGTGGAAAAGTTCATTTATTTCAGTAATTCAACTCAAATTGTGAAACTCGTGTATTAAATAAATTCAATGCTCACAGACTGAAGTAGTTTAAGTCTTTGGTTCTCCAACCTAAAAAAGGTCTCTAATGCTCACCAAGGCTGCATTTATTTGATCAAATGCAGTAAAAACAGTAATATTATTACAATTAAAAGTAGCTGTTTTCTATTTTAATATATTTTAAAATGTAATTTATTTATGTGATGGCAAAGCTGAATTTTCAGTAGCCATTACTTCAGTCTTCAGTGTCATATGATCTTTCAGAAATCAGTCTAATATGCTGATTTGCTGCTCATGTATCATTTCTCATAATTATCAAAAGTTGAAAACTGTTGTGCTGCTTAATATTTTTGTGAAAACTGTGATACTTTTTTCCCCCCAAGGGGTTTTCATGAATGGAAACATGAAAAAAGAACAGGATTTATTTGAAATAAAAATATTTTGTAACAGTGTGTAAGTCTTAAATGTAATGTTTAGATGCATCCTTACTGAATAAAATTAATTTCTGTCAATAAAAATCTTACTGACCCCAAAGTTTTAAACAGTATTTTAAACTATTCGTATCTATAGTTCTGTCTATTTTGCGTTTTGAAATGACTGTACAGCTGTGTTGCGATTAAAATATGAGTTTTTTTTTCACGTCGCTTTGGTACTTTCTCAGATCAGATTTGAAATTCTCAAAATTACTTGTTCAACCTGCACATCATAGTAATTTGTGCACATCATAAAAGCAATTTCTCATTCTTTTGAACAAATTGTGAATGCTTTTGTACGTTCATGTTCAGTCTTACCCCCAAAACATCTTGTTTTGCATTAGTTCGTTGCTTACATCATTCAATGCAAAAATGGTTGAGCTAGTTGTCATAATCTGTCAAGCATATTTTCCATACATTTCTATTACTTTTTTTTTGTAAATGTGTTCTGAATTGATGAATTGTGCAGGTGAATCTTGAATTTTACTAATGACGGGTTAATCAACCAGTTCTCTAAAAGGGTAGGTGAAAGGGTAGGGAAGCAGACAAAGAGGTAGAAGAGGCCATGGGTGTAGCCACATTTCCAGTGAAAAAAAGGCCACTATTGTGGAGCTTGTTCTCAATCATGACCTCACAATTGCAGAGGCAGGTTGAAAGATGCAGCCAAATATTGTCCTCAATCATTCAAGCATTTGTAATGTAATCCAACAATGTGCACTGTACTGTAATACTGTGTACTTACTGTGATTCTTCATATTACTTTAGTCAACTTACAATACACAGTAAATATACTTTATACAGATATACACTCACACACATATGTATACACATGTACATATACAGTGGCATGCAAAAGTTTGGGAACCCCTTGCAGAAAATGTGAATAATTTTAACAAAATAAGAGAGATCATACAAAATGCATGTTATTTTTTGTTTAGTACTGTCCTGAGTAAGATATTTTACATAAAAGATGTTTACATTTAGTCCACAAGAAAAAAAAAACTGCTGAAATTATTAAAATAACCCCATTCAAAAGTTTGGGAACCCTTGGTTCTTAATACTGTGCGTGGTTACCTGGATGATCCATGACTGTTTTTCTGTTTTGTGATGGTTGTTCATGAGTCCCTTGTTTGTTCTGAACTGCTTCCGAAGGGCAGTACTAAATGGAAAAAGAAAGATATTTCAACAAAATAAGAAAAATGTCTGAAGTTTTCACCCCTCCTTCGCATGCCACTGTATAATGTATGTGGGATATATATATATATATATATATATGGCTAAGCATTTTGACTATCTTGTTGGTGATCAATGAAGCAAGGACTTGTCATTCTGATGGCACTGATATGTTCATTTACATAAATACAGGGCCGTCCTTAAAGGGGTCCTATTATGCTTTTTCACTTTTTCAACTTTAGTTAGTCTGTAATGTTGCTGTTTGAGCATAAAAAATATCTGCAAAGTTCAAAGTCCACTTCAAAAGGAGATATTTTATTTAACAGAAATCACTTTTCAAAAACTACAACGAACGACTCGTTTGGACTACAACGCACATTTTCCGGGATTTGTGATATCACAAAGATCGACGAATGGGACGAGACCTGGTTGAGCTGCACTAGAGAAGGCAACGAGTGTTATCACTATGTCGGAGACACGCTAGCTTTCACAAAATCAAGAATTTGTAAAAGAGCATAATAGGACCTCTTTAAGGGAAGTGCAACTGGTGTGGCCGAACCAGCCCTGCGGCAAATTGACAAAGCTTGCACATTTGAAAAAATAAGTTGTTAATGTTTTTTTTTAATTGTTTGTAAACAGCGGTCGGCTCCAGTACTAAATACGCCCACATTGACATCACTGCGACGGAGATAGCACAGAGGGTGGGAGCCCAGCATGCTCAGGGCCGAGAGGAGAGACTACAGGAACTAGAACAGAAGAGGAGAGGAACACTCACCTGAACATATAACAAAGTAGAGTCAAAACTTCTGAGACAACATTGAAAACATTTCATTTAAACCTGGATTTTAAACCTAGTTCTTGCATTTTATTTATTTATTTTTTAAAGAAAAATGTATATATTTAATATAAAATATTTTAAGATGCTGTCATATTTTTAGGTCACTTTTGTGAATTATGAGCACATTTTTCATTACAATTTTTTCATTTTCTTGCATCCACTGAAGTACATACAAAATGTGAATCATCAGGTTTTACACAAACTTTTGGAGTTCATGCAACTCCATGCCATTTGTAATTTTTAAATCAACAAAGATACCAAATGTTAAGAAATTATTAAATTCATATGCATTTTTCAGTTCAATGTTTGTTTTTCTCAAATTATGCTGAAAAAAAAGAGAAATGCAAAGTAGAATAATTTTTGGTAGGTGTCTCAGACTGCACTGTATATCAGTGGTTCTCATCCTGGGGTCCAGGGCCCACTACGGGGCCTCAATATGAGTCAAATATATTGAACTTAAAATTTATAAAACTTAAAATATTAATGTTAAAAAAATGTTAAAACTAATCCAAAATCTAAAATGAGGAATGGGAAAAGAACACATACAACCAAGATAAACTGAAATATATAGGAGGGCCTTCAAATATTTGGTTGGACAGTGGCCTTCAGTTGAGAACTGCTGTACAGTATATGCTAATTGTATTTCTGCATTGTAATCTATGTGCAACTTTGTGGATGAATGTATTATTTTCCATGATTAAAATTTGCATGGAATTAGAAAGGATATAAATATGAAAGCAGACCCTAGATGCATAAAGTTTGACTGTTGACTGTAAATATATACTTTCTTTTGTAACCAATTTTGTTCTGTACATTTAAACGTTTAAATATTTCACAAGAACATTTTTTTTCCAAATATTTTCAGAAATTTCTATATTCACTACAGCAGTATTAATAAAAATGATACATCAGTGACTAGTGCTGCTCATCCTTTAAATGCTTGATGCAACATCACTCAGCATAGCAACCATTCGACATCATGTCATAAAAAACACAGGTCTTGGGCAGTTTGTTTTATTATGAAATGTGTAACATGAAATGAGCAGAATGTGTACAAAAGTGATCCTATTATTTATTTTGACATTCCTGACAAATTCATTACAATGCTGGATTATCATATTTTTATCAATATGAAGATTAAATCACAAACTAGTTAGTAGTAACAGTGCCAAAGATTTAAGAATTAGTGTGTAGTTTATATTAGAATTTTTGTGACAAACGTCTAAATGATGGAACTGTTTAAACTGAGGATGTTGTTGATTCAAGTCTACCTTGGGACAACACTGTCAAGCATGGTAATGGACTTTGTATTCAATGCTATTTAGAGATTCAGTCAATATAATGGTTGACTCGAGGGCTGCCTTGCCAAATCTAGCTATTTAAGTGCTTGAGCTTAGCATTTATTTATTTTTAATTTTTTTTGGTCTTTCTCCATTGCATTTGAGCCTTTTCAGCCTGTTCCACTGAAGCACACCTTTTTCCTGAATCTGTCAAGTTTAGCTGTTATCAAAATATTAAATCAAGCCTGTTTAGGGGTGGCACCGGTGTTCATGAATGGGTATTATTGAGCTTAAATCTTAGGATGCTCAGGACTGGGGTATAAAAAAAAAACAGGAGGATTATTGAAATGAAAGCTTTAACAGTTTACACTGAAAACGTTGAGCTGTTTTCATGTCTGTGTGCTCATGTTGTGAAGGAATGTTAAATTCTTTTCTACACATATTTCAGTGTGCATTTGTTTGTTTAGCAACTATTATTAAATATAAATAATTGAGCCACAAACAAATTTGCCCAAAATTAATAGAATGCTTGTTGCCATTTACTGTACAAGCATAAAATGGGAAAGGAGCAACAAAAGCAGAACTCGTCACTACTTGGTACCATTGAAAAATAATTTACCCCATAGCCTAGCTTCCCAATGAAAATGTTCAATTCATGTACAATGTGCCCTACCTTTATAAGCCTGGTCCATCTGTGTTGGATAACATTTTAGAATACAGCATATGTGATCTCTGAACGATTATAGCTAACAGTAGTCCTGTTATGGGGACAAAAAAAAAAAAAGGTACTCAGAGTTCATTGTGTTGCAGTCCATTTTGGGAAATCTTATTCGTCAAGTCCTGCAAGTGTTTCTTCATCTAAAAAAGAAAAAGAAAAAAAAGTGTGACAGCATTATTACAGACTCGCACTCCATAACCCTTACATTTTTCATAATGACTATGCTAAAAGAAATTATATGTTTATGATATGCCTGAAAAAATCCACAAAGTACAACCACCAAAAACATTTTTTTTTCTTAAACCCATTTTGCAGCTCTACCTTGTATCCCATTTCTCGTGCTTTCTCAGCAAGAGCATTGTATTTCTCTTTGTTTCTCAATGTGTGTTCTTTGTCTCCCAGGGCCTCCACATGCTTCAGTTTCTGATGAGACAGTTCCAGCTGCTCCTGATAGTGCTGGTGCTTCTCAACCTTTGTTTCAAAGTGTCTAAGTTCCTCCTAAACGAGAGAAGAAGGGAAAAAAACAAGACTCCAGATAAGCAAATAGAATCGAATATTTTGGGGAAAAAAGGCAGTGCATATTAAAACTAAACTGAAATTCAATATTTAGCAGTAGTTGTGCAGTAATAATCTGAATGTTCTGACACAAGTAAAGCTTACTTTAAGAGAGTCAAGTTCGACTTCAGTGAGATTAGATCTTTTTGCCATCTCCCAAAGTTCTATGACTCGTGGCTCCTTAAATTCTGCCATAGACAAAGATATGAGAGATAGAGAGCATTAGAAAGCCATGTGGCAATTCAATTATTAAACACGGATTCAACCTTAGCAAGGGTCCCCACCACTGTCAGCACTGTAACCCTCATGGGTGATCTTGCGGAGTCGTTCAAAGCCCTGGTTAAGGCCCCTCATTCTCTGCTTCAGATCTGCATGCTTCTGATGGAGAACATGTTCCTTCATGTCACCCTCCAGAGGACTGATTACGTTCTTATGGATCTCTTATGGAAAGAACAGTGCAAGAGACATTTATTGATCAGGTTCTGAAAGTTGAAGACATAGACTGTGAGAATCTGCACAGGAGGTTAAAATTTAAACAGTCCCATTATTAAACTACTGGGGTGCATTACCCAAAAGCATCTTTAGCCAACTATGGTCACAAGTTCCGTTATTACAACATAGGTAATATATATACACACACACACACACACACACACACACATTTCATTCATATATAATTTACTGTTAAAAATCAGTACCATGTTTGAAGAGTGCGCATGTGCATAAATGCGTAAAGGAATCCTGACGTATGACATAATAGTGAACAAGTCTAATGAATTAGTCTTTAGATGCCATGTTTGTTATATCAATATCTCAGAAAAATGATGAAAGCTGCTGACTGAATGAATCACAAGTATACAGGAGTAAAATGTGTGTCATGTGAACAACAAGAACCTAATATTAATTATTATTATCTCAAATCAATTAATTAGCAGAGTTTATTACTCCATCACCTGCATTTGTGACATTATTAATGAGAGTCCTTTATTGTTAAACCAACGTGATTCAAACAACTGAGGTGAACCCATGCTACTATGGTTTCGGGACTAGCTATGATACATCACACTACAGCATACAATCAACCTAAAAACCTTGGAAATTCTCCTGAAGAAATGTGTTAATCAACACTGGCAAAAAGACTTATTAGAAATTCTGCCTTGTATAGCCTTTTAAGGATTTTGTATTTTCTTAGAGCTGAATGCTAGATAACACTTTAGCATAGGAAACACATATTCAATATTAATTAACAGGTTTTTTCTCTCAATAAAACTCTTGCTGCTTATTAATAAGGTAGTTGTTAAGTTTAGGTATGGGGTAGGATTAAGGGATCTACAATATGGTCATGCAAAATAAGGCATTAATATGTGCTTTATAAGTACTAATAAACAGCCATTATTATGCTAGTAATATGCATGCTAATAAGCAACTAGTTAATAGTGAGAATTGCTCCTTAAAATGAAGTGTTACCGAATGCTATTAGAGATCCTATGTTATGAAATCTTGGCACTAAACACGACCAAACTCTAACCTTCGGTCCGGCTGACAGTGTCCATGACAATGTTATACTCATTGATTTTGTCTTTGTGGTGATGGAATTCTCTCTGCAAGGTCTGGAGCTCCTCGTCAGAGAACTTTCCAGAAGTCTTGGCCTGAGGATCAAAGGTCGAAGAGAATGTTTAAGCAAAGTTAGTAATAAGTGAACAAGTCTGTAAGCCTCCAAATGAGTAACACATTCACACTCCAGTAGCTATTCTGTCCCATGAGTTACCTTGTTCCACAGCTTGTCCAGCCTCGGGTCATCAAACGTATCTCCATCTTTAACATCATGATCTTTCAGTCTGTTACTGTCCAGTGCCCGGGTGTCTTTTTTCCCATCCATTCCATACTTTGCTAGAATAACTGTGCAAAGAAATATATTTATTATAATAAAGTTATAGAAAGTTGAAGTCATTTTAGTTACCACTTTGCTACATATCATAAAAACAATAACATTTTCTATTCAATATGTCCCATCCCAACTTCCAGTAGCAATAGAAAATGCATCACCAAAGAAAATAAAACGGTTTGTCAAGTCTTTTCCTGAGATCTTAATGTCATAACCCATGAAAACTCAGTCTACCAAACAAAACAGTCAAATCCTACTATTAAAATTGCGTCTGAGCTTGGCTTCTCTTTCTCCATCCTCATCCAACCCTTCTGCTTTCAGTTTTTTCCACTGAAGTTCATCTTTCTCCTGGATCTTCAAGTCACTGTGCAGTTCTGAGAGCCGCACCGGTGCAAGCTGCATCTAAAGCAAGAGATGTTGATGGACAGTTACAGTGAGGAACATTATAATGTTCAAAAGAAAGCATATTATAAAATCTGAGCAGTCATGAAATACTATAGAGTAAGATTTAAACACAATGATAAAAGAAGGACAATCAGAATATCCTATTACATTAGCCAAAATTAATTATTGTATATTTATAATATACTGTATATTTTTAATCTGTCACATTACTTACTCTTATCGCCTTTTCCCAAACCTGGTTTAGTTTGGCAATCCTGAATTCCACCTGATTGTTGTTTTTATCAGATGCCTTTTGTTCATTAATTTCTTTTGAATACTTGCCCGCCATTGCTCCGATAACAAACAAAGAAATCAAAACTGTAAGCTGCATTTTCATTCTGACACACAAGAAGCGAATTAGTTACAAAAGGTATGAAAGTATGTAATGTTTTCTAGAGCATCTGCAGCGCTATTCAGGAAGCGTTTCGAGAATCATATGGCGTTCACATGATTGAACGTCCAGCTGCGCATTGCATCATGGGTCTTGTAGTTTTCAATTAGACGTTCGCGCTTTGGAGCGAGCGACTCGACGCATAAAGACTTCAAATCCCACAAAGCGCTGCCTGCTCGTTACCTAGTAACAACGCGTAAAGATGCTTTGAGCAAATGAGATCGATCCACGCACTGGGAATGAACGGAAGCCAGCCCACTTGCTGCCATCTGCTTATTGAAACTGCCCACAAGATTAGATTTGAAATCTCATTAAATCTCAAGCGCAGATATCCCAAAAGTCTAATATTAATTTTTAATTCATGAGTGTTCATCCATCTGTTGGATTTCAAATAAAATAAATAAAATCCAATGCCTGGGAAGCAAAATTCACCCATTATTGTCAGCTCTAACAGGGTTACTAGAGGTGTGAACACTTTTGCAATCTGTCTAATACTAGCCTACCTGTACTGCAATTTGTCTTTTCCAATTTTCCCAATTAGAATGCTATAGTACTAACTGCTTTCCAATATGATAATACAATGATTGATATAGAAAAGAAGATGAGACCAGTTGAGATTCCTCATAAAGGCTACTATAAAATGCCTGAATTATCAGGACACTACATGTTTGTATGTTTGTGCCAAATTGCGCCACCAGCGCTATCCCTATTGTAGGATTAAACCTCAAAAATGAAACCCAATAGGCTACGGGGTATTTAATTACACATCTTTGTCTTACAATAACAGTACACTACTTAATCCTCATTGCTTGGTTAACCCATTTACTTTGATGATAAAATAATTGGATACATTTATGAAACACTGTTATAAATTTGTGGAACAACAACTTAAAGTGTTACTGAAGGAGAGCTTGGGACTTGGGACAATTTTTCAAAACCTCGTGCTTGTACAACATACTTGTATCAGTCGGTCATTCTTGTTATCCCTATTACATTAGAAAACATGACATTATCTAACCAAATTGACATAAAATCCATAAAGCCTGTAATATCTATCCAAGGTGTCATCACCTTCATAACACCAGCTCTCTGAGGGACCTTTTGTACACAAATTCATATTGATTGACTCCTCTCTCTTTTACAGTCTATCCTGTTCTATGTTGACATTGCAAAGCTCGCTTACACACACACACACGTTTCCATGTTTTATGGGGACATTCCATTGAGGTATACATTTTTATACTTTACAAACGGTAATTTGTATGATATTACAAATTACTTAATTCTGTATGATTTATAAGCTTGTTTCCTCATGATGACCAAAAAAATCTCCTCACAAGGTCAAAATTTAGTGGTATTACCATCCTTGTGGGGATATTTGGTCCCCATAATGTAGGGAATACCAGGATCACACACACACACACACACACACACTTTAAACATATATGATAAAGAAAACAACAGAGGTAATTATATGAGATACATGCAGTACCAGAAATTCATTATATTTGGCTTTATATTATATTATATTATATTATATTCTGTTTGGAATATTTAAAGGTGCAATAGGAGATTTTGGAAAATGCTAACTTTAGCCTGATAGCACTGAAAGTGAACGTCCCACCCTCCCTGCAATCGCCATCCAAAGCCACGCCCCCTGAACGCATTTACGCTCACAGACCAGAGACAACATTGTTACATCAGGTTCCCAATTCTAGCCCATGTTCCGAAGTGAAGTAAACTACAACAGATTTTCCCCGCTCAGGGAGTAGGGAGCAATGAACACTGTGTAGGGATCATATCGATCGGAACACAGTTCATGCACGTAGCTCACTTCTAACGAGCTGGCGCGAGGACTAGATTAACCGCTGGGCTACATCATGTGTCATTCACCGGTGACAGACAAATACGTTTAGACCACTTAACTTAATGATTGCTATCGGGATGTGAAGAGACTTTCAACCAGCATAACAAAAAATGTTTCTGAAGACAATTGCACCTTTAATTTAGACATAAGCAAACCACTTGAAAAACACTTACTCATGCAAACAATTACAAAGTGATTAAAAATGTAGCCTACTTCAAGATATGTTAAGGACATTCACTTGTTTATAAAATCGCTGAAATTATATGAAGTGGATTTTGTAATGCTTTTCAGGGTACAGTATGAAAAGGCAGTTAAGTAATCAAGGTTGTACCATTTTTGCTCACTGTCACGAGTTTAGTCATTGACCTTTGATTCTACTCAAAAGACCTTTCCGAGGAGCATACAAAAATGTCCCTATAAAAAGTACACAAGCTGCGTCAGTAAAAGCACTTCATATGTTAACACAATATAGCCGCCTGTTGTCTACCCACTTCAAAATAACACTAAAATAGCTATAGACAGGCTCTAAAAGCTGCCAGGGCTGAGCATATCTGCAAATTCATAGAAAATAAACAAAAATCCAAGGTTTTTATTTAGCACAGTGGCCAGATTAACAAATAATCAGACATCACCCGAACTAAATAATCCCTCACAGTTTAGTAGTAATGACTTGATGAATTTCTTCAGTGATAAAATTGATAGCATCAGAAATACAACAATAAATGTAGAATCTACAGCGTCTTGTAATTCAGCTTCATTCATTGCACCCAAAGAAAAATTGCAGTGCTTTACAACTATAGGACAGGAAGATCTAAATAATCTTATCACTGCATCTAAACCAATAAAATGTTTATTAGATCTTGTACCCACTAAATTACTGAAAGAGTTGTTACCTGTAGAAAATTGATAGCATCAGAAATACAACAATAAATGTAGAATCTACAGCATCTTGTAATTCAGCTTCATTCATTGCACACAAAGAAAAATTGCAGTGCTTTACAACTATAGGACAGGAAGATCTAAATAATCTTATCACTGCATCTAAACAAATAAAATGTTTATTAGATCTTGTACCCACTAAATTACTGAAAGAGTTGTTACCTGTAGCAGAAGAACCACTTCTCAATATTATTAACTCGTCGTTATCTGTAGGTCACGTCCCAAAACCTTACAAGCTGGCGGTTATTAAGCCTCTTATTAAGAAACCACAACTAGATCCAAGTGAACTGGCAAATTACAGATCCATTTCAAGTCTTCAGTTTATGTCTAAAATTTTAGAAAAAGTTGTCTGCTCAATTGTGCTCCTTCCTGTAAAAAAAAATTATATATATGAATTTCAGTCAGGTTTCAGGCCCCACCATAGCACAGAAACTGCACTTGTTGAAATTACAAATGACTTGCTTCTTGCGTCAGACAAAGGCTGCATCTCATTACTAGTTTACTTGATCTTAGTGCTGCATTCGACACTATAGATACTCATAGATCGATTACAAAACTACACGGGTATTCAAGGGCAGGCCTTAAGATGGTTTAAGTCCTACCTGTCTGACCATTATCACTTTGTTTATTTAAACGGGGAATTATCACAATTAACGGCAGTAAAGTATGGAGTGCCGCAAGGATCTGTCTAAGGCCCTCTGCTATTTTCAATATACATGTTACCCCTTGGTAATAATATTAGAAAATATGGGATTAGTTTCTATTGTTATGTGAATGATACTCAACTATATATTTCAACAAGACCAGTTGAAACTTCTAAATGATCTAAGCTAACAGAGTGTGTTAAAATGTAAAAGTTTGGATGACCAATAATTTTCTCCTATTAAATTTGGATACGAGATATTACTTATTGGACCAAAAAACAGAATCTCTTAGATTACAATTTGCATCTAAATGGATATGCCGCTACTTCTAATACAGTCAAAAAATTTGGGAGTTATATTAGACAACAACTTGTCTTTTGAAAATCATATTTCAGATGTTACAAAAACAGCATTCTTCCATCTTAGAAACATTGCCAAACTACGAAATATGTTACCTGTTTCTGATGCAGAAAAGCTAGTTCATGCATTCATGACCTCTAGACTGGACTATTGTAATGCACTGCTAGGTGGTTGTCCTGTATCTTCAATAAACAAGCTACAGTTAGTCCAAAATGCAGCTGCTAGAGTCCTTATCAAGTCAAGAAAATATGATCATATTACCCCAATTTTACAATCTCTACACTGGCTACCTATTAAGTTCCGTATCAATTACAAAATATTGCTACTTACTTATAATGCCCTAAATGGTTTAGCTCCTGCATACCTAACTAGTCTTTTATTACGCTACAATCCATCACACTCCCTAAGGTCGCAAAACTCTAGACTTTTGGTGGTACCTAGGCTTTTTCGCATTTGGCTCCCAAACTCTGGAATAGCCTTTCTTATAACATTTGGGGTTCAGACACACTCTCTCTGTTTAAATGTAGATTAAAGAGACATCTTTTTAGCCAAGCATTCACATAATGTATCTCATAACCTTGTACTTCTGTTATATCTGATCAAATGCACATTATCCTTCTTTGCTTGGTTTGAACACATTATAATTTTTTGCTTGGTTTGAACAGCAGCTATGCTAATTTTTCTGTTTGCTTCTCTGTTTCTGCCATAGGATGGGCATCCCGAGGTAACTATGAATTACACATGCTTCAGTCTGGATCCAACCCTTACAAAGATCTGAGATGATTGAACACCTGAGAAGAGATGATGCCAACCCCTCAGAGGACCTCAGATGATGACAACCCTGAAACAACCCACCAGATCCAGTCTGTATCCAGATCAGATGGTCACTGCAGTCACCCGGATCCAGTACGTATTCAGACCAGATGGTGGATCAGCACCTAGAGAGGACCTCTACAGCCCTGAAAGACAGCGGAGACCAGGACAACTAGATGAACACCAGATACAGATGTTATTCCCCTGTAAACACCTTGTCTCAGACGACCACCGGGACAAGACCACAGGAACCAGATGAGTCCTCTGCACAATGTGACTTTGTTAGCCTGAAATTGAACTGCTGGTTTTGTCTGGCCAGAGGAGAACTGGCTGCTTCAGTCTGGATCCAACCCTTACAAAGATCTGAGATGATTGAACACCTGAGAAGAGATGATGCCAACCCCTCAGAGGACCTCAGATGATGACAACCCTGATTCAACATACTAAACTACCAAATTTTC